GATGTTACTATCAATGTCGAGTGCTGGGCCTCACCAGCAGGGCCGGAGGTCTGTGTGCGGGGAGGTGGTGGGGGCAGCACGTCTCCCATCCAGGAGCCATTTCCCTTGTTTGTACATATACTGCATCCTCACATCAGAGGAGTGAAATGTGAAATGCAAAAACAACACTTTAAAAAAGAATACCAAGTGCATGCCTGTAGAGAAAAAATTATGTTTTAGAACATCACACACACACACACACACACACACACACACACACACACTCTTAAATTCCTATTAAAAATGGGCACTCCAAGAATGATATTTTTATGGATTTGAATTACTTATTTGTTCTCACTTCACAAAATTGAGTAAATTGATTTGCTGTGCCTGAATGGTTCAAAGTATTTTATTTTATTTTTTTTTTAATTTATTTTTTTTATTGGTTGTTCAAAACATTATAAAGCTCTTGACATATCATATGGTTCAAAGTATTTTAAAAAATAAAAACCTACCAGGCGCAGTGGTGCACGCCTATAATCCCAGCCACTCTCAGGGATGAGGCAGGAGGATTGTAAGTGCAAAGCCAGCCCCAACAACTTAGCGAGGCCCTAAGAAACTTAGTGAGACCCTGTCTCAAAACAAAGAAATATAGATTCGGGACATGGCTTAGTAGTTAAGCGTCCCTACGTTCAATCCCTGGTACCAATAAGTAAATAAATAAAAGCTAGTATGCTACCTTATACATGCTACTGGTTCCCAATCCCATGAGCCTTTCCCCTTTGGTTTGTATGAAATCAGACCTTCCTGGTGGGGTTAGGAGAGCTGCTCTGATATTTTGAGGAAAGTTTTTCATATGGAGATGATCATCTCCATAGTTAAATCCATTATCAATTAAAATCGCACATTTACTTCTGAGTTAGCTGAACTGATAGTAAAAGCCAAGAATCTTCAAGAAGGACATTCATGTTAATCTTAAAGTACAGTAAAAATAAAGAATGTCGACATAAAATTGCTTCGTGTAAAAGGGGAAGCATGGCGGTCTTTGCCATGTGCAGGGGCAGGAGGTCAGCAAAACCTCCCGGGCTCTGCTCAGCGTCTGAAGCACAGCGGCTCTCCTCCTCCTCCAGGTCCTCAGGTTACACTGTGGAAATGGACTCGGGAACCCCTGAGTTCCAAAGGGCAGATTTTGCCTGTAAAACTTGTCTGAATTGTAACCTGGAAATCACTGAAAGCGCCACGTGCCAAGATGCTTTGCTCTGGCTGCCCAGGATCTGCATCTCGGCTTTGTCCCACCTGCAAGTGTTTCACAGAGTTTTGAGCAGCTGCTCCACCCGTATTGCCAATGGAACGCAGGTCTCCTGTGTTGTGGGGCTGGGGGAGCCAGCTGGTGTTTGATGGCTGCGTGACAAGGGGCCCAGCATCCAGAGTGAGTTGGGAGCTCATGGGCATCCACAGGAGAGTGTGGAGGACGCCAAGGCATCGACTGCATGGAGGACTGGCACGCAGCTCCCCACCTGTCTACTCTAGAATGCTCCGAAGGTCAACTGCTGGAGCTGCCCAGCCAGCTCTAGACCTCTGGACTTTGGTTCACACTCTCCCTGCAGAGTTGAATGCATCACAAATAGCCACAGGTATTCACCATAGGCACAATAAGAATCCACATTATTTTCACACATCCCAGAGTGGAGTCTGGTTATTTAAGGAGTGTTTGTCTCCACATGTGTACTTCCTGGCAGTGCTCCAGTGGAAGTGCTTCCAACAGGCCCTCTGATGCCCTCCAGCAGTTTAGTCTCAGGAAAGGGGCGTATGTTCAGTGGGAGGCATCAGCCTTGCCGCAGCCGTGATGTGCATTACCGCTGTACCGGCCAGTCCTGCACTGGGGCCGTGTTATTAATACCTGGCCAGACTTAACCCATTTCCTTTTCACAACAACCCATTATCTCCATTTTCTATCTCTGGAAACTAAAGGCAGGGGGTAACTTGGTCACGGTCATGTGACTGACGGGGGTGTCTGGACAGGGGTGTCAACTGGAGTCCTGTGCCAAGTTCTGGCCTTGGTGGAGAACGGGGTGCTTATCTGGGGACAGTCACCCATACACTTACCCGGGGCCATGTGGGTTGACAACGACAGCGAGGGGAGGTTGCGTCTCAGAGCTCTGTGTGGGAAGGACCTGGAGGGGATCACACTCAGGACCATTGCACCTGGAGCTCGTGATTGTCACGACTGAGGAAACCCAGACACGGAAACCTTCCCAGTCTGCCCCAGGCTCCAAGTGAAGACGCGGTGGAGAGACTGAACCGCTGGCCCCAGAGTCTGTGCTGCGCCACCGCGCCCCTCATTCCAGCACAAGCACCAGGACGCAACCAGGGACAAGGACAGAGGCCACACACCAGGCTCTTAATGTGAGGAACTGTTGATGTTACTGGGTGGGCCAAGGGAGCGCTGAGTCATGGCAGGACACACGTGTGCGAGTGGCTGCTCTCCAGGGAGAGGAAGAGTAGCCCAGAGGGAAAGCCCCAGAAGAGTGCCTCCACCGACTTCACGCAGCTCCTCCCGGAGAGGACGTGGCTGTGGCCCTCTGGACGTGGGGAAGTCCTCGGTGGCACCCAGGCTGGCTCTGGCTGTCAGAAGCCTCTTGCTGAGTGCTGTATGGTCTCCGTGGAGCTTCCTGCCGACCCATCAGAACCGGTGGGAGGGTGTCCCACTGGAGCCCCACTCACAGTGACCAGAGGGCCCCTCTGCCAACAGTGCCACCAGGACCAAAGGAAGCCCGGGGAGCCCTCAAGAGCACCGCCTTCTGCAGAGGCTCCTGCCCTCCACTGGGCACCCCACCCTCTTTATAAAGAGGCCATTTTATGTTCAGATTTTGGTGGGACAGTTAAGCAGTTTGCTGCATGTCCAATGGCAGGGAGCTGTCACATTAGGTCTGGCATCTCTACCAGGTGCGCCATGTTGGTGGACTCAGATTCTGCCTCCCTTGCCTATCGCCCTAAGGACCTCTGTTGGCATGTGTCCTCTAGGAGCGAGGTGCGAGTGTGCGCGTATGTGTGTATGCACATATATTTGTGCTTCTGCGAGGTGGAAGTTTTACGTGTATATGAAATCTTGGGATTCTCTAGATGTGTAAGTGACTTTGTGCTGGGCCCCAGGACCTGCTTCTCCCTGAAGGATGCTGAATTTCATTCTAGGGTTGAATGTAGTAGTAAAGGGAGGGGTGGTCTATGAGAAAGTGTCCATCCCCTGTGAAGGCATTTGCCACACATGCAGTTCCCCAAGAGGTAAAGCAAGTGAAGGGGTCTCCTCAGGCTCAGCAGGGGATGTGCAGGGTGAAGGGAGGCTTCAGGATCATATGTTTCATCTGAGTCCAACCACATGGCCCCACCCATGGTCCTGCATCCCATCATACCAATGAATGGCAGCTTGCAGAATAAGACCGTTGATGAGACTAGATTCCACTGACCCTGTAATTCAGTGTCCCCAATGGTTAAACCATGGAGTTGACTCAGCAGTCTGAGCTCAGAATGGCTCTGAAGGCTGGGAAGGAACATTTCTGGTTCTCTCATGACATGAGCTGATGGCTAAAGGCCTTGTGCTCATGAATTACTTATTTATTTATAAGCCTCCCAGTGCCGTCCTGGGAGCCCAGGGGACCCCTCTGTGCTCGCAGTCACGATCCCTGCCATGCTGGGTAATGCTGCTGCCCCCTGGACTCCAAAAGCCTTGCTTCAGCTTACGCGTCAGGACAGTCCACCACGGGTGCGGCTTGGTTAGGTGCAGCACCACTGTGTGCTCTGCGTTCCTCACCTCCCACTTCCCACCATCCCGGGCCTCAGCAGTAGGCTCAGGCCCAACAGTACAACTGCACCACGCCCCAGATCCCATCTTGGAGGGCTTATCCCCGAGGCCACCCACCTAGAGCCAGAATTCCTACCAAAATTTTAACAAGGAAGATAGAATATAAATAATTATTTTTAAAAAATGTTTTTTAGTTTTGATAAACCTTTATTTTATTTATTTATACATGGTGCTGAGAATGGAACCCAGTGCCTCACACATGCCAGGCAAGTGTGCTACCGCTAAGCCACAACCCCAGCCCAATAATTATTAATTAGAGAAAAAGAGTCAACTACAGGCTATAATCAAGAGAACTCTTTAAAATACTGGAATAGCAGATGGAGGAATCAGATACTGCTTCTGGGACTGAGGGGCATATGTTCACTCCATGCCCTTGGAGAAGAGATGTTATCCATGCCTGATAAAGTTTACGGAGCTCGTTAAAGAATGTGGAGCAGTGGGGACAGTTCATGGGACCAGTGTTTGAAAGCAAATCTTTCATTGTACCTAAGCTGGGAAGGACATGGGTATGGCAAGAGGGCTCAGGATGATGGTGACAAAGGACCCTTGGGGTAAAGATCAGAGTAGCCATGTTCAATGTAGTCAGTCCATTAGGGACTCAGTTTACACTCTTCATTAGAAAACAGTTCTGGAAAGTTCCAGGGGGACTAGCACAGCCCTTTACTAAATCAATGCGGTGTGATAACAGCTCCCAGAAGAGTATCTGTGGAGAACAGGAGCTTGGAGACTTTCGTGGTGGACTGGGGAAGATTGTCCCAGTCCAGCCTATTCACGGGAGAGTTCACTGAGGCTCTCTGAGGGCCTTGGGCATCGTCTGTGTGTGGACGCAGGGCAGCAGAGAGCAGGAGCCAACACCTGGACACCATGTAGCAGCCATCCATCCCCTAGTGTGGGTGCAGCAGCAGGCGTGGGAGAAGTGGACTGGCCATGGTGTTGCAAGGGTCAGAGGAACGTCTTGCAAACCTGAGTCTGCACAAGCTATTTCGTATATTTGTGTTAAAATCCATTCTGGCTTGCTCCATGATCTGCAGATTTGTGTCCAACAAACTGTGTCCAGGTCTGTTTTCCAACCAAGACTGAAAGTGAAGCTTGTGATCAGCTTTTTCATCTTAAGGGTGTACATAATGGCACTTTTTGTTTCTGTTCGTTTCTTTTCACCTAGGCCGGAGCCAATGTCCTTCTCCAGGACGTCAATGGAAATATCCCGCTGGATTACGCTGTGGAAGGGACAGAATCCAGCTCTATCCTGTTGACCTACCTGGATGAAAACGGTGAGCCGCAGCTTGTGGGAGAGGCTGAAGAGGAGCTGGACGGGCAGAATGTGCATGTGTGCTCCTTGTGCGGCCCGCTGGTGTGGCTGATGGGCTCTCGTTTCCCTTCCTGGCACAAGTAGGGAATTGTCCCATGCCCCTCCACGGCCTTCCCCGCTCTGCACCGTACGTTTAATCTGCACAGCTTTCTGCACACCGGCAGAAATCCAGAGGCAACGAGGAGGGACACTTGAGCAAGCCTCTGAGGTCCATGATTAGTGGCACTGGGTTGTAATTATCATCTGTTCTCCCCCCCCCCCCCAGGAGGGGAAGGACGTGAAGCAGCACAATTGAATTTTGAGCTAATGAGTGCGAAGTCATCTCGGGAGTGTTCCCCTGGGAGCCGGTGGTCCTAGCGGGAGTTCAGACAGCGAGGACTTGGGTAGGGGCAGGGTGAGCAGCACCCTGGAAGCCACTCTGTGACTTAGATCCACCACCATGGTCAGGAGACAGCCTCAGGAACATGATGCTATCCTGCAGAGTTGAGGCTGAGCCCTGGGAGTGTCACTGACAGGGTGCTAATTACACAGACCCAGCGGAGAGCTCAGGAGCCAGCACAGCCCTGTGAGGCACCAGGATCCCTGACCCTGGCTGGCGTGAAGGTGAAGAGCTGCCCCCCTCCCTTTTCCTGCTATTTAGGAATCAATAAGAACAAGGACATTCCCATCCTTTCAAGGATACCAGTGGCCAGAGGAAAGGGTCACAGAGTTTCAGTCGCTAAGATCCGGTGATTTCCCCTTTCTCGTCTCAGGAGAAGCTCCCTGCATGCAGACCTGTTCCCTGCTGCACCCGTCCAGGTCACATGTCACAAAGGTTTATCCTGAGCAGGGCTCAGAGGATGATCACTGCTTGGTAGCCCTGAATTCTCCAGAAATGGTCCCATTGGCTCTGAAGGCTAGTAGCAATGGCTGTCCTGACGGGGACCTGAGCCTCCTGTGCTGGAGAGCACCGCGGTCAGAGCAGAGCAGGCTCCTGTGCCTGCTGTGTGTTCATTGCCCACCTGCAGCTGCTGTGCCCTGGGTTCAGTGGGCCACACACAGCGCCCCGTCCTCGAGCTTCTCCTGCAGGAGAGCTCAGAGGTTCTGGAATTTGCACAATCCGTGTTCTCTCTAACAAAACCACATGGATTCAGAAGTCGATTAAAAATTGGTCAGACAGGAGAACAACAAGAAAAAGGGACTGAGTCTGAGTGGTTTGGAGGAAATCTGTCACAAGCATGGCTGTCACAGTCAGTGTGTCAACGGCGTGTTAGCTGGAGCCAACTCAATTTAATACCTCTTCAGTTTTTAATTCTGTTTCTTACTTGTCACCGCCGGGGCCTGGCTCGGCCGTCCCATCCATCTGCCCCTCCCTCGCATCTGTCACGTCCTGGCTCTGCTCCTGCCAGTCTTGCTTCTGCTTATCGCACCCTCTGCCCAGTTCCTACTAAACACTCTGAGTTCCATTCATTCCCTTCCCCCTGGCTGGTGTGCCTTTGCCGTCTGCGGTGACAGCCTGGGCTGGGGTCCTCAGCAGTTCTGACGTTCCACAAGGAGGTCTCCTTGTGATTCAGCTCTCAGTACTTCAGCGCTGCCTTATTATAACCGGGTGGCCACGGTCTTGGACATTCACGCTGCATCCCTACAGGTTCAGATCAGACACTTATCATGCTGTCACATCAGGGTGCAGGCAGCGGGAGGGGCAGGCCATGTCATGAACAAGTTGATTACATGGAAAATCGCTGGTCACAGGCTGTAATTGTACTGTCACCAGCAAGTCACACTGTAATCTCAGGCGCAGCAATTAACCTCAGCTCCCCGCCTGAGCTTCCCGGGCTGTAAAAATGAGACAGCTATGCAGGGTGATTGAGCCTTGATGAATCTAGAGCTTCCGGGCAAGGCCAGCCAGCCGCCATGCAAGGGAAACAGTGGACTCCAGTGAGCCACCTAGGAGAGGGAGCACTGAGAGGGAGCTGGGGTGGTCAGGACAAAAGACCAGCGGAGATCTATATGTCCATGTCCTGAGAAGGGCAGAGCTCACGTGGCTCTGTGCACAACACCACCCACTGTGTCCTCTCCTGCACCTGCAGTGTCCCTTTGGAAAACCGTGGCTCCCCTGCCTGCTCCTCAGCCACTGAAGGTCAGCCTCCCACCTGACCCACCCCTGGGAATGCCCCTGAGGGCTGACACTGCCTTCTGTGGCCTTCCATCCAGGGACCACCTCCCTCTTCTACTTTATTACTTCATCTCTCTGTGACATCCAGCAACCCTGGCCACTCTCCTGGGAAGATCTTTTCCCGGTTTTCTTCTCTTGAGCTTCCGTGGGGCTGGCCTTTGGGTGTTCCTCTTATGAATTCAGGTTCCTGAGTGTTGGTCTCTAGGACTATTCCTTGAAAATCTTTTCCCTGGCACATGGCGACTGGAGTCCCTGTTGGCTGGTGGTGTTGTCACCTGCCCCGAGGGTATTCCTGCACCCTACCCCCTTTCTACACTCCAGTCCTGGGCGGGTGGTGTCATCAGGGACCTACACGTGGAGCTGAGACCATCTGAGATGACATGTCCCTGTTAGACTTACGTCACCCTTTCTCACTGTATCTATATCCCACAGTTTGCCATTACAGCCAGGAATACAGGTGTCTGAACCTTATTTTTATTCTCCCAAATCCCTGGTGTCTGGTCGTCACTGAGTCTCACAGAAGCTGCTTCCTGGGCACCTCTCCTCCGAGTGGGCCCCCTCACCAGCCACCCTCTCTGTCTTGGTGAATCTGCATCTCTATTCTGGGTTACTTCGGTGGCCTCCACATCTGCTCACCATGCCCCAGTCTTGCTCTCCCTGTGCACTCTTCACGGTGTCCCTTTGGTTTCCACATACCAGGTGACCTTCTTTGACTTGTGAAGTCTATTCAGACGCTGCTCCAGCAGCCCCCTCTGCAGAGCCAGGGCAGCCAGGCTGGCAGCGTGTGTAGACTGCCCAGTGATGCCTGTTGCAGACTGGGCACAGGAAGGGGGGAGGGCAGCAGTAGCCTCCCGTGTGACCCTATCCTTCTCTGCTGGGGCCACTGTCTGCACTGGCCTCCCCGGCCCTTTTGCTTCCTTGGGTCTCCTAGGAACCTCCCTCTGGTGACAGCAGCGTGGGTGAGTTGAGGTTCTGTTGGAGAAACCCAAGCTGATCCCCCGGCATGGGTCAGTCAGGTGAATGCAAACGCTCGTTTAGCTTTGTTTCCTTTTTGAGGGTAAAATCCTGTTTCTGGATATTCAGATGATGCTGGTATTACATAAGCTAATGAATAAAAATGAAGTGCCCAGAGCTTATGGGAACACCAAGATGGAAGGACATGAGACGCCACAGGCTTGACAGAGCCGGGACCCTCACACCTACCTCAGGGAGGGGCTGGGGCACCATTCCAGCTGGTGTGCCTTGGAGAGCTGTGAGGGGCTGGGGTGGCGTCCGGGGCTCAGGGCGCCCATATGGCATGGTGCAGCCACACCAGCTCCACACAGTGAGGGCCACAGCACAGTAGAGCCTCACAGGGAGGGCGAGCAAGTTGTCACAACAGCATCTCCTGAAGAAGGAGAGTTCAGCAAAGACAGACAGGGATCTGGGAGACTTGGGGGTGGGGCATGACATTCTGTTTTTTGCACAAATGTCTATTAGCATCAAGAGCTATCAAGCAGCAGTAATAACTCATAGGTAACAACCTGTGGGGTTCCAGGTAAATGATTTTGTTTCCAAATTCTATATTAATAGAAATGCCAGATTTATCTTGAAATAACAAATCTAAGAAGACCTTATATTAATTTTATTGTTTAGAAAACAATATGAAAATGAAACTAAATTTCTTTTTTAAAAATGAGAATTGGCCCAATAGCCATTACAAAAGGGACTTTCCGTGCACTATCGCCATCTTGGTTGGTTTTGTTCAGGAGAAGTTGGAGACATTTTCTTGACCACCCAGAGACAATTTCTTTAGCGTTGTATTACCAAAAGGAGACTTGTGCTTCTTTTCTGAACTTGTAACAAAAATCACATCATAATTGGCACCATATTTGACTCAAAACCTAGTTGGAAATTAATAGGCTACAAGGTTGAATATTCCCTGTGGCATCTTCAGAACAGGGAGGATCATTCCCCAGGACACATAGCGCTGTGAGTGTGAGAGCAAGGAGTGGCGCAGTACATCTGTGTGTTCATTTCTGTCTTTCATCTTTGAGTCTTGTTCTGGTTTTTATCATTCAGCTTAAATTGCATGCTTAAGTAATTTTCTAAGAGACATATCAGCAAACACTATAACATTAGGAAATTTAACACAATACTATGGCCTTAGATTCCTCTGCCATTTCATATGTGAAATTGAATGCTGACATCTGAGAAATAATATTTTCCAAAATTAAATCACATGGAAAATTCCATAATTTAAAGCTGAGAATAGAGTGACAGTTTCAGCTGGTGTCTAGTGGACCTCACTTCTCTGTTGGGGAAATCGGTTGGTTCTTTTGAAGTGGCACACCAGGGTGCAGAAGGTGAGAGAGAGCTACTGTCCCTGCCTCACCATTCCACCACAGGGAATACCTTCGGAATGAGCTACCCATTTCAAGTATTATTGCATTTTGCTTTATTTTGCTGCTCCCTGACTGCCTATTGCAAAGGAAGACACCCCTGAGGGAATGGCAAGGAATCCACACAACAGAAGGCTCGCTCTCATGGAGCTCTTACTGCCCATGCTGTTTGACATGCTGTGTGCACCTTATTCTCATAACAATGAGGGAAGCAAAACCTGAAAGCCCCACTTTGCAGATGAAGAAACTGAGCAGGGTATGTTTCCTGCCCACGTTGGGCCAGATGTGATCCAAAGGCCCAGCACCCCAGCCGGGACAGCTGGGCTCCTGAGAGCCTCTGCTCCTTTCCCCTGGCAGGCTCTGAGGTGAGCATGGGGGGAGCAGACGAGGAAGCACTCGGGGAAGTGCCAGCCGAGGGGACATGTCTAATGTGGCTCCCGCCTTGAGACTGAGAATTACGGCCTCAACTCTCTGAGGTCTGTGTTATCACCTGAGAGACTGAAGATATTGAAACCCGAACAGGTGAAAGGACTCAGTCACATAAGACCTAGAAAGTGCTCAGCAGAGTGGCTGGCTGAGAGCAAACACGTGTGAGAGGGAGAGAACCTCATCACCGTCCCCATCACCAACATCCCCACCCTGTCACCATCATCTCCACTATCACTGATCACCATCGCCATGATCATGGCCACCACTGTCGTCATGATCACCACCACCACCACCATCACCATTCCCAGTCCCACCATCTACACCACCATCTCCACCACCACCATCTCCACCACCATCTCCACCACCACCATCTCTATTATCATCATATTCACTGTCAACTGTAGCAGATACATTATTTGTCCTTGGTAAGTATTCATTTAGCCTGGAACCACTTCTGGGATCAGGTTAGCCGTAAATGAGGAGAGGCGAGCTACCATAAAGGTCATGCTATCATGAAGTTTCAGGTTGAAGTAGATGCTGACGAGAGGTGTGAGCAGGAGGTAAGCAGACCTGGGCTTCCTGTGTGTGAATCACCCACTCAGTTAAGAAAGACAGAGTTTCACTCAGTGTCGGTTGTCTCCATTAACATGATGGTCATGGAGTGTTTAGAGGGAGCATCCTTCTAGAGTGGTCATTTTTGAAGTAATTTGTAGATGTAGAGGCAGTTCTCAGAGATAGTCACAGACGGTCCTCATGCACCATTACTTGGAGCTGCCTCCATTGCTACACAGGGGTGTCGTTATCTATTTATCAAAACTAGAAGTTAGCCTTGGGTCCATAGTGGTATTCACTAAACTATAAATGTTGTTTGATTTCTCTAGCTTTTCTACTAAAGTCTTTTTTTTCTATTCCGGGATGCTACATTGCTTTTAGGAGCAACTATTGAGACCAGAAAGTCTTAGAGAATAAAAAACATATCTTGGTGATTTTTTTCAATTCAATTTAAGTACTTCAAAATACTTGGGGCATTGTGTGTGGATGGTTTATATTAAGGCATGTACTTCCACAGAGCCTGACAAGTCTGAAGAATAGAACAAGTGGTCATTTTTTTTCTTCCTTTGAAGACTGTACTCTAGTTAGAAGTAGAATGCATGCAGAGGGAAGCAGTCATCCTGGAGCTGAGAGTGATCGCCCTCAGTGGAAAGGGGCTTCCCCAGCGGAACATGCTGAAAGATGCCCCGCAAGCCAGGCAGACCCCACAGCATCTCTGTGTCCATTTTGAAAGGTTCTTTCTCCGCCAGGAGTGGATCTGACCTCCCTGCGCCAGTTGAAACTGCAGAGACCCATGAGTATGTTAACAGATGTCCAGCACTTCCTGTCGTCTGGAGGCAATGTCAACGAGAAGAATGATGAAGGAGTAACCCTGGTAGGTCACTCTGTTTGACTCAGAAATTGTTTAAATAGAGGATTTCAGTTGATCCTGAAACATAGAATTGAATAGATTCGACCTTTAAACAGTCTGAGGTTTTGCTGATCATGAAAGTATTCACTGTAGAAATCTTGCAAAACACATAAGTATGTAAAGAAGGGTGTGAAGAGTCTGTGGGTCGCCACCGAGGTAGAACCCAGGTGTGTGTGTGGTGTTTGCTTCAAGCCTTCTTCCCATGCATGCTTTTCCTACAAGTTCAAAATCATTTTTGTGTGTTACTTTGTCACTGCGAGTTTGAGACATGACGTATTGGAGACACTCATTTTCACTTTAAGCAAAACAAATTACTTCTGAATAATTCAGTTCAGAAATCCAGGAACCCCCCCCCCCCCACACCCCGTGCCATGGCACTTTGGTTGCTGTCAGGCACAGCTGTAGTAGATTAGAAATTGATCAATCAAATTTGGATTGAATTTGATATAATCCTAATGCTAATTACCAAAATGAATTTTGCCTTGTCAATCCCTACACTTTCCCAGCCTCAGCGTGCCTGGGTTAGACTTACTGAGGACAGATGAAGTGTGTTAACCCTCGGGGGAGAAAGAGGAGAAGGTGGGTTAGGGTGGAGGAGGAGCCTGGGGCAAGGACATCATTGGCCTCAGCCAAGGAAGTCAACAATTCAGCACAGAAGGAAAGAGGATGGGAACCAAACCCTGGGATGAGGGAAAGGTGGAGCATCCAGAAATGAGACCAGGGGAGGCAAGCTCGGGAAGGAGGAAATGGGAAGAGTGGGAAGCTAGGAGCCCAGGGCACACAGGGACACGGAGCAGCGAACGTTTGCCTTCAGGACTGTTGAGAGCCTGCAGAGAGGATGGTTACTCAGAGGACTGGTGGTCTTGCTCTCCGAGGGCAGTATCCGTGGACTGGTGGTCAGAAGCAGATTAAAGTGAGCTATTAAATTAACAGTCCATTCCTTGCCTGTGATAAAGTCCTGTCTGACATGTAGCAGAAATAGAGAGCCTCTCTTTTTGTACCCTAGCAAGGATTGCAGCTTTATATTTGTTTAAAAACCGCTGCCAAAGACAAATAACATGCATGCTCCAGCTGTGGCTCACGTATCCTTCAGTAGAGAAGCTATTGAAGGAATCGATACAGAGCAGTAAATTGCTATTATTTTCAACCATCTTCAATTTTGACATTGCTTGTGACCATTTATCAGACAGCATAAAAGTTGCACATAATTGCTTTGTAATAACAGCATCCTGTGGTGGTCAGCTCTGAGCTTTGACAAGAAAGAAGCAGTGAACAAAAGCCGGGGCTCCCTAGGGGACCACAGCCTACAGGGAGGGGCAGTTCCCTGAGGTGTGTCTCTTATGGTGACGACGTCCTTGCTGGAGGTCTCCTTCTGGAAGGTGCGCCGTGTGTATGCTTTTCTGTGTATTGTTGGAGAGAAGGACGAGAAAGTGCCTTTGTTCGCGGGTCGATTTCCGCGCTCTGAGTTGGAATGTCAGCTGTGTTTCGAAATGAGGCCTAATTTCCCAGCTGGTAAATTGTCATGTGCAAAAGACAAAAACTACCAGCACAAGGCTCAGTGGGGAGAGGCTTCAGTCAGATGTAAAGAGCTTCCCTCGCTTCTTAGATGTACAGCAAGATGACCACATGTAAAGCAGCTCCTTATGAAGAGACCTTTTAGTTTATATTAATAATGTTCTTAAAAGTAAACAAAAGTCTCAGAAAAGGATACAGTTGTTAAAATGCCTTCCATGTTCCAGAGCACATGAAAATGAAGTGCTTAATCTGAGTAGGTTAATCTCTTGAAAACATCTGTGTGTCTTAACTAGCGCCTATGTATGGTGGCACCCCTTCCTCTCTCTGTCACAGACTTTGACTGGTCAGACCTCTTTTTCTTGGGAAATAATAATCCAGGGGGTACAAATACCAGCCCTCACGTTTCCCTCTGCCTGTTCATTTCACTAGTGCTAGTTTATCCCCTACCAAAGACACAATGGCAAACGTTGACGAGGTTCCAAACGGTGGACACCAGGTTTTGCTCTGTGGAAAGCACCTCTCCCCTGCAGGGGCTGGCTTTGTGCACGTGACTTCAAGAGGTCTTGAGTAGCAGTTGCAGACCAACTAAAGTGTCCATTCCTGACTCTGGTGTTAGAGTCAATTTTATACTCCTAATGAAAATCTTCTGAAATCCAGATGCTATTGCAGATAGTGTAAATAACTAGACAATCATTTGCTGATTATTCAAATAATGCAGAATAAATTTAGAAGTGGGTGAAAGACTTGATCTCTAGGAGAAAGTAGACTAAATTCTACAGTACCCATGGATGCATCGTTCTTGACACTGTTTGCTAGAATATGAAAGAGGTGAATTCTGTGTGTAACAAACCGTGGGATGAGCAATGTGAAACATGGTGTCTTAATGTTTGTGCTATAAATTAGATGAATTATTCTTGTTCTAATGAAGTTGATAGATAGAACAAGAATGAAACACGTGAGTGTATGCTACAGACTGAAGAGTGTTAGTCCAAAGTAGAAAACAGGTGTTTCTGCAAATTGCATCTTTGTGTGTGTGTGTGTGTGTGTACATGGGTGTGTGTTTTCACTTTACTATATGTTGTTTTTATGATAAAAACAGAAGAGTGCTCCTTGCCAGGGTTTTACAGGGTTTAAGTTGTGTTTTCTCTTGGTCCTTTCCTGACAGTTTCTTCCTTCCTGTGTCTATACAACAAATCACACCACACACTTCCTGAGTAACCTCATTTACTTTGGGCGAGGCCTTAGAGACAAAACTCCTCACTTAAAAAATAGAAGCAAATGCTTCAAACTCTGATCTCATTTTTGTAGATCCTGAGGCCTCATTTCTAAACTTCAGATTCCGTGGAGAACTAAACCAGGAGAAATGTTAAGTGTTAACTGTCAGCTGATCCTCCCCAGGTCCCCGGGCCTTGACCAGTACATGAGCATCTCAGGGATCACAGTTTTTGTGCTGGCTTTGAAACCCTCCTGCAGCACCAAGGACAGCCTGCAGAGTTAGAGTCGGGGAAGATTTGGCCTGAGGTCAGGCAGTAGTGAACTATTCTGTTATCACCTCTTGTGTGTTAAAACATTCAGGTCACAGTGAAGAGGAACTCAGGGAGGATAGGAATGACAAAATGTGCACACTATGAGAGTCAAAGGAAAATAAATAAGAGTTCTTAATAAGCCAGAATGTTTCCTCCAAAGCTATCCACGTACACGTAATGAATAAAATCACAGGGCTTTTGCTTACATGCTCTTTGTCTCAGATCCAGTATTTTATGAAATAGCTCTTTTTATACAACTCAATAAATCACATTGATGTCACTGTTCTTTTTAAAAAGTAGAATGACAGGACATCTCCTCCTCACAGTTACACATGGCGTGTGCAAGTGGCTACAAGGAGGTGGTGTCACTTATCCTGGAGCATGGTGGAGACCTCAATATTGTGGATGACCAGTACTGGACGCCCCTCCATCTGGCAGCCAAGTACGGCCAGGTAAAGCCCTTTTAAAATTGTTTCCAAAGATCATTTTTATAATCCGTATAGAATTTTATATTTGATTTTTGTTTCGAATCATGTACTAATTATTATGTAATTTGGCTTTTGATGATATTATCTTACTAAACCAAATGTTTTATAGTTAAAGAAAAATATTTAACTTCGTGAGTGCATGCCAGAATATAGGTTTATGACAGCTCTTTTGTGGTCAGAATCACTGGAGAAATAATCAAATCCTATAAACATCTTTTATAGTTAATGCTGTTTTCTTAACATAAGGCTTATAACCTAATTCCTCAAATCTATAATAATTTTATGTTTTCTCTGCTTCGTAGACCTAAAACAAAATTAAATTTATATAATATTTTTATCTATAAATTATATTTCATTTTAATGAAAGAAGTTGGATAGCAAATTTTTCTCTCCAGGTTGATTTTGGGCTGCAGATAATATATCTGGAGTAACTATTTACAAGTTAGTTTCTCTCTAGGCATTGGTATACCATGACAAAAAATCAAAATCTAACCCTTTAGTGGTTTACGTAAGTAAATGTGATAGAGTGCTCACAATAATTCACTGATATAAAAAAACCTAGTTCTAAAATATGAATAATATTTTGTTAAAGAAAGTCTTAGTAGCAATAGTATGAAAAATAGCTGTTTTAGTACTATTTACTGTTAAGCTAAACTTGTTCATTTCAAAACAGTTTCAGGTAAAATCACATTCAGTTAATTTATAGTGAATTGAATCTCTTGGATATTAACCAGAATGCAAAATATCTATCATGAAATTTGAGTAAAGCAATTGTTGAAACACTTGAACACATTTGCGTATCCTGTATTATAGAAAAATAACATATTGTTTGGAGAATGTTCCAGTAAAGAGAACATTGCTTTGACAACATTTCCTGTAGAAAAGGGTTCATTTATTCGGTATACAAAATTAACAGACTATTAAACAGTGCTTCCATCAGGTAACTGTGTGTGAGAATGAGTGGACTGTATATGAGGCTGTGGCTGCAGGCAGGTGAGGCTTTGACCTCAGGTTCCAGTACCCCAGGCCTCCTGGCCACAGGAGGTTGCAGCTCAGTGCTGAGGACACCATCAACACCAGTACTCCATTTCTAGCATGGCAGCAATTGGGGACACTCGGGGTTGGAAAACTTATGCTACTGAAAAATAGAGAATTCAGCATGCAGGCAAGTCTGGTCAACTGGAACACAACGTGGAGGGCTTTGCTAAGGAAATGGTCATCAGTAAATTATCAAAATGTCCTGTAATATTCAGGGATTGCTTCTTGAAGAAGCTACATCTGGAAGCATGTGGAAGCTTATTAAATTGCAGCAGAATGCTACCCTAACTTGAAGGAACTAGGCTTCCATTTTACCTGAATTCTCATTTTTTTCCCACTGGACTTTTGGACTGTTGAAAGTAACACTTTAAATAGTAGTAAGTAGATTCCTTCTAACTATTTTCATAGGATAATGAGCTCTCAGTTAATAGGACTAGATTCAATAAAGCTTTTAAAAGAGACAACTTGGATAAATGTATTGTTATTTTTGTTCAAATAGTCTAGTGATTTTTTTATCAGAATCCAACATTTGAGTCTTATTTTATCTTATTTCTGATCAAATTATGAGTTGGTGAATCTTATTTATTGTTTTTTATTGTGTTTTCTGGTTCTATGGTTTCCATTTGAGTCTTTCTTATAAACTGTTTTGTTTCTGAGAGATTGTATTCTTTTACTGGTTTCAAGAGAATCTGTAGTTGCTGATTGAAGCATTGTTACAATGGTTATTCAAAATCATTCCTCTGTCAGTTAATCATCTTTTCTGGTTTACACTGTATCTCCTGATCTTGTTATGACAGATGATTTCAATTGTATCTTGCATATTTCAGGGTTTGAGAGTCTCGTTTCTATGTAAATCTATTTCAGCAGGTAGTCACCATGTTGAGGCCTAGCATGCAAATCCTGGCCTTTTTTTTTTGGGGGGGGGGCGGGGTGTCAGGCAGGCTGAGGTTCCTATAACAGGTTAGTCTTTAGATCCTTTGAGGTGTCATTTTGGTCTCTTTTTTAACCTAATGCCCTTGGGCTTCCACTGGCTGCTCCTGGAAAGGATGTCCCCAGGCTGGGCCACTCCTCGCATCTGGACCAGATAGGGAAATCTCCACAGGGACAAATTGACTTCCAAACTCCCCTGTGGAAATGTGATCCTCCTGTGGGTGTGTCTCAGTTGAAAGACAGCACCTGCCCTGGCCCTTCATGGAATAAAGATCCCCTCAGAGGAGTCTAAGGAGGGGACAGACACAGGGAATGGGTTTGCTGTGTGGAGCGCTGTAGGAAAGAAATGCAAGGACAATATGGAAACTGCCCAAGTGAGTAGGTAGAGAGCCTCTGTTCTGTAAGATGAAGACAGAACTATGCGCTTAATGAGAAATCACAGTTGAACTATAAATAAATATCAATAATTTATTATAGTTTTACACCTTGGATCTATCATGGTTGCAGAGGAGACATTCCCTTGTTACACGTAGAACCTTAGCCATGAGCCAGAGTGTGGGTATACTAACTCAAGTGGGTTACAAATTCTGAATTTCCGAGGATTTTAACATTGTATTTTCTGCCTTAATGAGGTAATCAGTCTCTTCTAGGGCCAGAACTGGGACTGAATGGTAGCTGCGAGCATGCATTGCTACTTCCCAACTTTTTAAAGAGCCCCTGAAAGTGATCAGCAAGGAGTTAATGTTGCCCATTTTAACTGGACTGAAATGCAAATGTCACAAGAATGAGCAAAGTCAGGATCCAGCAACTCGTGTGAATTCAAATCTCACACAATTAGGGTTTCCTTTTGCACACACGTGTGCTGTATCAGTCTCCTCTCTGCTGGAGGCTTTGCTGGCTCTCGGCTCTTCCCAGAGTGGAGATGGATCGGCGTTGGGCTGCACAGTCTACCTGGTGCACTGAGAAAGTCCACCTAGGAGTCTCGTGAGGTCAAAGCAGACATTCCACAGTAAAGGGGTCAGTCGGCACTGGCCTCTCCGTGCCGACTGTGATCAGGACGGAGCCTGAGCAGAGAGGATTCCTCATTCCACGCATAAACGTTCACTTTTACAGGGCTGAAACACAATGGAATCACTTTTATTGTTGGGGATTTTCACATAGAAAACATTTTGCTTTTGTGACTGAAATGATTTCTGCAGATAGAGGGAGAAAGGTAGATTGTTGGGAGATTGACAGGTTTTCTTGTGGAGTTCTGTAAAGAGCAACATGATTATTAGACTCTGACATTTTTACAAAGGTATAAAATCTTTTGGGTTACTGCTCTTTTTTTCTAATTTATGAAAAATGGAGTCATATTTAATTTTTGACCTCCCATCTCTTCCCCCGCCCCCATTCATTACTTCCTAACTTCCTTTCCTTCTTCCCCATGGTTCAAAAATGAGAAAACCAGGGCTGGGGTTGTGGCTCAGTGGTAGAGCTCTCACCTAGCACATGCGAGGCCCTGGGTTCGATCCTTGGCACCACATAAATAAAATAAAAATGAGAAAATCTCTTAGATCTTTAATATAAACAAATATCTTTATTTTACCCTCTTGGGAAATGTGATATATACACACACACACACACCTTATTTTTCAACTTGGAAGAAAACTTCTCTTTCTTTAGTAAGCTGTATATTTGGAAATCAAAATAAACTTCTAAATATAAGCACTCTGCAGTAAAAAGACCTAGTATTACTGAAATAGTTTGTGTTCTGCAAAACAAAACACTAATTTTGAATGGGCGTGTGGGGATTTTAGCAAAGGGCACACCACTGAAGACCTAATCCGTTGTGTAGTGAGAATTCTAAAAGGAGCGGTCATTGACATTTTGGGGATTCATGGGCAGGAAGCTCAGAGTGGGTAAAGGATGCCACTGAAAATATTACAGAAGATAAAACAAGGAACCTGAAGAAGACATTCATATTTGAATCAAGATGATAAGACAAGAAATACACATGGAAAACACAATTAAGAAATGAGAAAAAAGAATTAATACTCCAAAAGAACCTCCAAATCAATTTTTTGGGGGCGAGAGATACTAGAGATTGAACTCAGGGGCACTCGACCACTGAGCCACACCCCCCAGCCCTATTTTGTATTTTCCTTAGAGACAGCGTCTCACTGAGTTGTTTAGGGCCTCACTTTTGCTTCAGCTGGCTTTGAACTTGAGATCCTCCTGCCTCATCCTCCATAGCTGCTGGAATTACAGGTATGCATCACCATGCCCAGCTCCAAATCATTTTTAAAAATTACAACCACTAGGTGAATTTACTAAGGTTGCTCACAGTATCATTACAAACATAAAGTATATGGCAAAAACATATACATACTCACTTACACACACAAATACATGTGTACACACATAACAAATAGTGTGTAAGACTTCTGCCCTGAAACACTACAGAGCATTGCAGTGGTAGTTGGGGACCTACAGAACACAGAGGTCGGCATGCTCATGGTGAAACGCTGGATGTCCTAAGTACTGGGGAGGCAGAAGGGTGGTCCCCAGAGACGTCTTTGGTCTAGCCCTGGACCCTGTCCTTGGGTTGCCTCACAAGGGGGAGCTTTGCAGAGATTAAGGGTGTGGAGCTAAGACTTTCGTGGATTATCCAGGGGGGCCCAGTGTAAGCACAGTACATGGGTCCTTGAAAGTAAGGACCTGATCCTGGCTGAGTCAGAGGAGACCGAAACTGTGGAAACGGCCAAGAGAAGTACCGTCCCTGTGCTGAGGTTGGTGGAAAGGTCCTGGAGGCAGGGAGCTGGGGCCGACTCTGTGAGCCTCACATCCAGAGCAGGTCCAGCCCTAACCCCAAGGGGAACACTGCACCTCCAGCACCCTGATGTCAGCCCAACAGTCTGTGTCAGACCTCACCTACGGAAATGTAAGGGGTACATCGGTATTGTTTAAGCACAACTATGTGGTCATTTGTTAAGATTATAATATAAAACTAACAGTATCTGTGTGTGGAGGGGGTAGGGGGTGGGGGGATTGAATCCAGGGCCTTCCACATTCTAGAGAAGTTTCTGCCATTGAGTTATAGCCCTTGTTCTGTTCTTTTACCTGCCTGCCTCCCTCTCCCTTCCTCCTCCTCCTCCTCCTCCTCCTCCCATTTTTTTTTCATTCTTTTTTTGGAGAGAGCCTCACAAAATTGCCCAGGCTGGCCTCAAACTTGTGATGCTCCTGTTCAGCCTTCTCAGTAGCTGGGATTGATTACAGGTGTACCCCTGGCCAGTTACACATCTGTTTGAAGCAATCCCAGACATATCCTATCTGTCCTTCCTATAGAAATTGAAAAATTAATCCAAGAACTTAAATAATAAAATTCAGACTCTTTTCGAAACTTTTTGTAAGAAGAACCTTTAAGTAAGATGTTCCAGGTCTTAATTGTGGTGCTGGTTACAGGTTTGCTCAAATGTAGAAGTGCATACTTATCTGTGCATTTTGTTGAATTTAGATTTTTAAAAAGAGGTATCAAAAAAAATGTAGCTAAGAAATTTCAATTTCTAGCCCAATAGCTGAGTTGAGGTCTCCTAGTTTTGTGGTTTGATTCTATTATTTTGGTGCCCTTGTCTAGGAAAAGTGGCCGCCTGCCAACATTTAGCAAGTGAGAATGATGGTGATGACTTTGTATCACAGAAGTACGAGGCATCCCAGACCCCTCTGTGCTCTATAAACCCAAAGAGAAATCATAACAGCAATTTAAAGACACTTGGAACAGTATCGTGATGAAAGCAATACCTTGTCTATATTCTATATGGAATAGAGGGGGAAAAAGGGTTTAATGGAAATTCACAGCCTTTCACATTGTAAAACATAATAGATGCTTGCATTTTAAATTGAGTTTAAAAATTAATAATGAGTGAAATGTTCAACTTATAAAATTTACAGAAATCTAATAAAATAAGAGAATTAGAAATAAGGATTTTAAAAGAGCAAGAAATGTAGAAATATAATATACAGGTAGGGTGTAATAGAAAGGATCAATAATACTGAACCTTGACTCTTGCAAGGATTTAGATGAACCAGATTCTAGAAATATTTGTCCAGAGAGGGAGACAGAAACAAAAGACCACAAAAACTGGCTGATGCTGTGCATGCAGAGGAGACAATAGCCAGGTAAAGAGCACAGCTCTTGAAAATACAGGAGGGGAGAGGCAGAGCAAGGACACAGCTGTCTTAGAGCATCTCTGCTGCAGTAGAGAAGTTCCAGACACCGGGTAGTTATAGAGTACAGAAATGTCTTTCTGACTGTTCTTAAGACAAGACAACCAGGATCGAGGTGCTATCAGGTTTGGAGTCTGGTGAGGGCCTGGGGCTCCTCTTCCAAGATGGTGCCTCAAATGCTGTAGGCCAAATGCTGTGTCCTCACATGGAGGAGATGAAGAGGTAAGAGGGATAAAAAGGATCTGGATGGCAGCCTCCAGACCTTTCCTAAGGTCATGAATTCATTTATGAAGGCAGAATCCTCCAGCCTAATCACCCCTCATGGCCTCATCTTTTAATGCCTCTGCAAGGGGGATTAAAATATAGCATGAGTTTTGGAAGGGACGCAGCATTCAAACAGCAACAATCACCAACAGTGTTGTGACGACAAATTTGAAAGCTTCAAACAAAAATGACAAATCCCCAGAAATCACACCACAAGGATTTGATTCTAGACCAAAAAGAAAGCCAGACAGATCCCATAGCTACCATCTCCAAAGCAGCACCCCCTTTAGCCAGTGATCCATTCTCCGACGGCAGAATCTAGAAACTTTGAAATGTCTGACAGTAAAGTCATTGCAGGCAGGTGGAGCCACAGGGGCTCTTGTTTGGAGTGGGAGTGTTAAGTTGAATAATCACTTTTGAAAAGAATTGGAGCCATCCCATGATGTTGGCCCTGTCTCCCTGTATTCTGGCACTTTTATTCTTAAGTACACACCACCTGCCTGTGTGCACCAGGAGAGATAAGCAGGAATATTTATAAGAACGTTATTTGCAAAACTAAATAAACAATTACAAGTAGCTTGAATGTCCACTAAAAGGAAGGTGAATAAATTGTGATATATTTCTACAATGCAATTCTACATAGTTGGGAAACAGAATAAAACAGTTTAACTCAACAACTCCCATGATTCTAAAAAAATGCATTGGTACACCTTGAAAGCAAGACATAGAAAAAATATGTAGCCCAGGGTTGCATTTCTATTATGGTCATAAAAGATTAAGCAATATGTTGGTTAGGGATCCTTCTAGATATGTTTGCTAACCAAATGAAGAAAAATACTAGTAACCCAAAGTTCATCCTAGTGATCAACACCATGAAACAGGAAGGGAGCAGTAATGGGGAGAAATACACAAAGACACTACCAATGACAATTCTAAAAGTTGGGGACACTGAAAGCTATTTAATTACTGATCTTTCAACGTTATATAAATAATACATATGCACTTTGTGTGATATGCATTTTTCAATAGGTATACAAATCTCTCGTTGAGCTCTTCAGTCTTATAACATGAGATTGAGTTTTCCTAATTGTAGAACGTGACTTTAGATTTATAATGTCCTCAGTGTTGTTATGAAAGGACAATACCAATAAGTTGGACTTTGCTGAATGGATAAAACAAAAACAAAGCATCATGTGACATATAATGTCTTGCATAAAATTCTCTAAGAGAAACTTGAACAGTTTAAGGTATCCTCTTCAAGTCCTAAACAATGAAACCCTTATGCAATAAATGTTTTTTTTCTTCTGAATACATAAATTGCTGAAATGGTGCAAGTATATGGCATTGTCTGAAAAGGAAGTGGCCTTTACTAATGACTCCCCAGTGTCTGGCAATGTGTTTCCTATTTCAATCATCTTTACGTTTCAGACAAACCTGGTGAAACTTCTTTTGCTACATCAGGCGAACCCAAACCTTGTGAACTGTAACGAAGAGAAGCCCTCAGGTAGGTGCTGAGTGGGGCTGGACCCCTGGGAGTCTCCTGTCTTCCTTTAACCCTGACATTGCTCAGCTCCTTTGCACAGCTAGGGAAGGAGAGCTGGCTGCAGCTGCAGCTCAGTGCGACCTCTGCAGTACACCCTCAGGCCACAACTTCCTGTGCATCCCGAGGTGATGTCAGGAGGATGTCCAGGAGCATGTGCCTGGTCCCGGTTCCTTTCTTGCATCTCATTACTAGTGCATTGAACTTCAGGTGGTGATTCCCTTGGTGCCATTTACTTTAAAATATATTTTACCAGTATTTTATTACTTTCCCATCATACCAACCAAATATGTGCATATTTGTTATGGTATTTTAAAACAATAATAGTATTTTTTCCTGCACATATATTTATGCCACAAGAAATGGAGACTAACACTCTCATGCTAATTTAAAAGTTCAAAATATTGACTTATTATTTTTTAAAATATATATTTTTCATTGTAGATGAACACACAGAATCTTTATTTATTTTTATGTGGTGCTGAGGATCGAATTCAGTGCCTCATGAATGCAAGGCAAGCGCTTTACCACTGGGCTACAGTCCCAGCCCCTTATTTATTTTTAATAAATATTGTTTTGAAGGTTTTTATAATTCTTTTTATCACTACTCTTTTTATATGTTCATATACTTAATTAATGGATGCCACATTAGTTTTGTAGATTTTGGAATTTAACAAAGTAACTACTCATTATTAGTTCCATAATATTAAAAATAGAGGAACTCCAAACACAAAGGGAAAAGTCCTGCATAAGTAACATAATAATACAAAACTGTTAAAGGTAGCAGTTGATCTGAACGAGTACATCGGTATTTTCCCTGTTGCTAGACCTCCTTTAAACTCCTTTACACTAGAGATTTTATATTTGATTACTTATAGGAGCATGTTAACTGTGATAAACCTGCAATTTAAGCCAGGATGAGGGATTTACTTCATTTCTTATTTAATGGAATTAAGCTTTGTTGTTTAATGTTTATTACTTTGTCTTTTCTGCTAAGATAAATAGAAGATCTAACAATAGAATTATAAATGGAGTAGTAGTCTCAAAGTTTACAATCAAGCCAACATTAAAGAAAGTCCACCTTAATCCTGACATTAACTAGAAAAGGGTGCCTAATAACGAATACTGGAAAGGTAAAGAAAGTCGTAGCCTGTCCCCCATCTTTAAAAAGGTGCATTTCCTGGGAGTGGGCACAGCCTCTGTACCTCTAGCTCTGTGAGGAGAGCACCTTGTCTCGTTCCTGCTCAGGGCTTTTCCCAGACAGGGGAAGACGTGACCCTTGGGCAGGTCACAGAGGAGCGTGGAGGACAGAAACTGGACCACGTGATGGCTGAGCAGATGAGTCCTCAGCCAGACTGCGTTATATTCTCATCACTTTGCACTTCTGGAACTTGGGGTGACACAGACAGAATGTCAGGGGAAAGCGAGCATCAACAGAGCTCCAGGGTGGGATGGGAACCTGGTCTCCCGACGTGAGGAAGCTGAGCTCCTCCGGCTCTTCCCATGTGTGCTGTTTAATCTGAGGCAAGTAATAGTCAGATTCTGACATCTGTCTCTTCTTATGGCGCCTGAGTTACCTTGACCAGTCCACCAAGCCACGGAGCTCACATTTATAGTTTAGAGAATCACAGGGGCTGAAAAAGCGTGTCTGGCACCTCTAGCTCTTCATTGGTGTTAACGTGAACTTCTCCCCAGGATCTACCAAGTGTCGGTGTCAGTGGTTGCTAAGTATAAATTAAATTGCTGTGCATCTATATATTCAGATATCACAGCTGGTTGTGATCTGGAAAGAAATGTATTGATTATGTTTCCAATGGAACAAGAAAGATCATGGCGAGGCCAGAGCCACTGTCAGATAACACGGCTGAGTTATTTGAACATCTCCCCATTAGTCCAATTGAGTTGCGTCTAGGAGGTGTTTTTTATCAAAACCCAGACTTGCTGAAGTGTTTCACCGTGTTGGTCCACACTCCCCAACATGCAAGAAGAGGCTTACTAGGATGAAATGGCAGTTCTTCCAAACCTAGCTCCGCCCTGACCTTCTGTTTTATAGTCACCAACCAGTGCAAGTTGTCTTTATGGTGCTTCATTTGTGGTTAAATAGGTCACCCATGTAAGATAGTTTTTGAAAATGTCCCCACTGTAAACACTTGCTCTATTCTACAAGCTCAGCATTCAAGCCTCGTCTGAGGACGGAAAGCGGGGAGGGCTCTGTGCCACCACCCGGCTGTGTCTGACGGTCTCACTGTGTCTCACAGACATCGCCGCCTCTGAGTTCATCGAGGAGATGCTGCTGAAAGCCGAAACTGCCTGGGAAGAGAAAATGAAAGAGCCCTTCTCTGTCCCCGCCTTAGCACAAGAGGAGCCCTACGAGGAGATCGTGCCCGCCCTCCCCGCACTGTCCAGCAAGCTGTAAGTGTCCGCTGCTCCCTGGGAAGTGCGGACTCTCACCGCCACTCTCTAGGGAGCCGCCGCTTCACTGCCGGCCGCAAGTCTGTCTCTCCACTAAAAGTCAGAAATATTGAGATGTTGATCACATAGTTACCAAAAAGTAGTGGTCAGTAGTGGCAGCTGAGCACAATTTGAGAACCCGCTGGCTTTTTCTAAACATCACCGTTTTAGTTATTGGCTCCACTTCAGGAGTCAGGAGACGCACCGGGTTTTAAACACTCTACTAGACTCTAGCTAAACTCACCCTGAGGGTCCCAGGCTGCGCTGACGGCTGACTTTCCCAAAGAGGAAATGAAAACACACAGATGTCCTTTCTTGACACGAAACTGATTGTTCTTGTCTAAAGTATCTCCCAAGATGCTTGGTTGCTTGAAAATGCAAAATGCCAGAATGGAAATTGCTATTGTGTTCAAGGTCTGAAAAGGAGACACAGATAGCCCATGATAACACATTCCAATTAACGTTCAGTTGGTTGAGGGAGAAGTGTTTGTTTAACTCATGAGACAATGATCAAAGTTTCTCTTCCAGAGCTGCCCTTCACTAGCATGGATGTGTGCATATTGTGTGGATATGTCCATACAGGTGTTAGCACGTGACTTTATATTTTATACACACACACTCACACATAGGACATGCCCACAATATACAAATCCCTAGGGACAGAAAGTGGATTAGCAGTTGCTAGGGCAAATAAGGAGTGACTGCTAAGGGATGAGAGATTTCTTTGGGGGATGGTGGAATGTTCTAGAAGTAGATAGTTGCAGTGGTAACACCAATTTGTAAAACTGTAAGAGTGTAAAAAGTGTACACTGACTATACATTTTGAAGATGTGGATTTTATGCTCTGTGAATTGTATCTCAAAAACAGAGGAAATCAGTACACGAAGAAAGAAAAAAACATTTCCAGTTGAAATGAAATGTGCTGCATTTCAGCAGCGGGGCCTTGAGGGACTACTCTTTTCTCTGAACCTGATTCCTGTCTGGCAGTGAAGATTATGTCTAATTTGAGGACGACAAATAAATATGCCTTCTGGGTTTTCAGCCATCTGAGAAACAGACAATGAAGACAGGCAGAACCCACCTGATCATCAAGTGGGCACACTGGAGAAGGGCTAAACGTGCACCATGCTTGCACCATCACTCAGGAGATTCACCCACTCAGCCTGTGAGCCAGATCAGGGCTCCCGAGGGAGGTTCCCCGACAAGCCTCCAGCAGGGAGGAGGGGCAGCTTGTGCACTGAGCACTCTCTGTGAACAGCAGAGGGACCACAGGCACACTCTTCCCACATTCTTCTTCAGCTCCCCAGGGGTGGAGGGAGGCACAGGATTGACATGACTCAGTCTCCCTTCCTGGAAAGGAAGAGAGCATTTGTGGAGTGTGTCACAAGGCCATCATGATGCCCAGGTGAACCCTGGGGAGACTCTCACTTCAGTGCCTGCCTCCCAGGCGTGCAAAGCACTTTTAATGTAAAGCTGCTCTGGGTAAGGACAGGCCAGAGTCAGCATCCCCTAGTTGATGCTACAGTATGTTTGCCTTGGGTTTAATATTTTAATCCTGTTGTAAAGGAGCTTGGTTTTCATGCCCCCACTGTGAAAGCAGAGATCTTCCGTAAACTGCTGTCTTCAAAGCCCTGTCGAGATTCTCTCATCTCCCCAGGCCCCGGAGCTAGGAAATGATGCACAAGTGTCTGTCTCCCAGCTGTGGACCTCAGGCTCTGACTGCTGCCCGCAGGGTCACTCTCCTGTGTTTTGGGGTGGGGGGGGGAGTCAGGGGATGGTGTCACACATGTGTGAGAGGAGAAAAGACAGCCTTAAAACTCAGACTCAGGCTGGGCATGCTGGAGCACGCCTGTAGTCCCAGTGGCTTGGGAGGCTGAGACAGAAGAATCGTGAGTTCAAAGCCAACCTCAGCAACTGTGAGTCACTAAGTAACTCAGTAAGTTATTAAATAAAATACAAAATCGGGCTGGGGACGTGGCTCAGTGGTTGAGTGCCCCTGGGTTCAATCCCTGGTAGCAAAACTGCCTCAGGCAGGCCCAGAGCAGGGGAGCTGGCCAACCATGGCTGAACCTCTGAAGCTGTGAGCCTGAAATAAACTATCCCTCCTCTAAGTTGTTCTAGTCACAGCAGTGAAAACAAACACACCACACTTCTTACATTCTTGTGTCACCGATATCACTGAGAAAGAGGAATAATTCAAATATTTGCTGTGGAAGGATTTTATTCTCCAAATGTAAATATGAAAATTCACACCCAACGTGGTCCCACTCTAAGGATGACATTGCGTGGTAGGCTCCCAAGTTAGGAGATGTTAAAATGAAAACAAGGTTGTGGTAGATAAGTATTAATCATTGTGTCTGTAGTATTGTTTTTGGTTTCTGTTTCATTTAAAAAGTAAAACAGACCCAAACAACCAGTCTTCCCAATGCTTTTCACTTTTTAAAAAATTATTGACTGAACAACAGATTAATTAGTTTATAAATAGACTGATCAATCAATGACTTATTTGTTCCACACAATTAAGTAAATGGCCTAAGTACTTTTTTTTTTTCTCATTGCATCCCTGATCAAAGCTTGGAAATTTTGAAATACATTACATATTGAAATGTTGCCTGTTTTTCTTTGTAATCTACTGTTATCTTTCTCTAGAATTAGAATCAAAAATTAAACCAAAAAAACCTCAACGATAATTTCGTTTCACTTAACACTATTTGTCCCTGGGTCCCTCCTCTCTCTGCTTCCTTGGCTTCCAGGAGTTGAACAGCACTTCTCCGTGAGAAAATTACAAGTTGACCGTCTTGTTTATAGGTTACGCCTAAGAACTTTTGAAATTCTTTTTATAATTCTTAATTGTGACATTTTACCTCTTTACTTTCATTGTCATTAGAGAACTATAAATAAATACAAAACAGAAGAAAGCACATTTCAAAAACATGACTTGTTTTAGTGCAAAAAATTCAAAAATTTCTATAATGTTCTCTCCAGGTTTTGTTTTTGTCTGAGAAGAAACGTGAGTGTTTGAGGACTCTCTCTGTTGCTTATGAAAGACAAAACTTTCTCAGAAGCTGAAAAAATGTGTGTATTGTTGACAATAATAATAATAATATGTATATATATTTATAGTGCTTACTGATTTCGTGTATTTCATTTTACAGTGGTGCTTGATTTGGACAAATTTTTGAAATGTGTTGGGAATTTTCCTTTATGAAAGAAACCAGGAAATATTATTACAGGAAATATAAATATATTTCTCTGAAAAATCTCTCACGTGTCATTTAAAGGCAGGGTTTCCCCCACCCCAGTTATTCACAGTCTGAGGCTCACCCTGGGTCTGAGAAGGGAGCCGACTGTATCTCTCTCTGCCTGCTTCAAGGTCGCTTCTGTTTTCTGCAAACTTTCTTGCCTGCATTGACTTGAACAAAGGCTTTTGTTTGGTGACAACTTCAGTTCCACTGGTTTAAACCAAGTGCATCCTTGAGTACACTGACAATCTGAATTTTAAGTACGCATCCTGGTCTTCCAGCGGCTTGCAGAAACCCCTGGGCTTTAAGAAAATGCAGGAGAAATATAAATGCAAAGAAGAAGTGGAAAAGCAAGTACAGATTGAAATATGAGTGTTTTCCTCTGTGGTCAATTGCTCCTTAAATTCATTATTTTGCCCAAGAAAGAACTGTGCATATTCACTGATAGGAGAAGCATAACATTAGAAAGACTTTCACAAACCATTCCACATGACCTCCTGCAAGAGGGAGTTTTTGACTTCCATTTCCTATGGCCTTAGAGATGGAAGTTTGTCCATGTCTTAATGGGTCTTTGCTTTTTTGAGAAAGTTTGAATTCTTGCTGTTTAAATATGGCCCATGAGTCAGCAGCATTTCTTCACGTAGGAGTTTGGAAGAAATGCTGACACTCGGCTGCACCCAGCCCTGAGCGCGGATCTGCACTTTGAGTCACGTGCACATTGAGTGTGAAGCTCTGTCCAAACTGGAGGCACATTGTCACTGTATTAAATCGCATCTACTCTTTTATGTGCTCCTTCCTCTGAACCATGGTTGCCCGTCCTGTCCTCTGTCCACTGAAACCCAGCTTCCCTTCTTTAGCATTATAAACTTGATGTATTTCTTTTACAACTTCCCAGAATGTTTTGCTTAAATTTTAAGGAAGAATAGAATGGTTTACCCTATAATCTCAGCACACAAGTCAAATGCCTTTCTCACTGTGACTCTTCTTTATTGTTCTGTAAGGCTTTGTGCAGTGAATCATGATTTGGTCATGATAAAAGTATTAGTTCCACCGTGTCCCACTGTTGGAAGCAGCTGCCCGTCTTCAGATGTTTAATGAATAGGAAATTCCTGTTATTGGGTTATCTCATATTTCATGTTTTCAAAGATCTCTTCTAGCCAGTTAACATTCTTAAGGTCACTCTGTGTTGCCTGACTTTCAAGTTCATGTCTGAAAATGTGCGGGTTAGATTTAACACCAAAGGTCCTTCCATCTGAAACATCCTGTATCTACACAGTTGGACTCTATTAGGCATCCTTTCTCTTCTTTAAGCTTGCATGACTCTTCCTGAAATCCGTGCTTTCCTCCCCTCTGTTCCTTCTTGACCTCTGACTGGGAGCCTCTCTGTGTTGTCTGTTCTGGCCCTGGAGACCTCCCGGGGTCCCTTTACCATCATCGTTGCTAATGAAGCAGCTGCTATAGGATGGGCCCTCTGGGGTGCAAAGGGGGAACTCCTCTTCCAGGATTTCTCATGGTCGAGAGGTTTTGATAGGTGCCAACTTGCGTGGCCACCGGAGTGTTTCATGGAAACTGAGAGAATCCATGCAAATTCTGCATGATGCCTAAGCAGAGTAGATTGTTCAGAAACTGGGCGTTCACTTCTAACAACCACACTGTCCACAGCTGCTAGCTTTGCAGTTACGGAAGTGCTTTCCATGGGAAATTTAGTACTAAAAATGG